TACGCTATAATAAGAAAAAGATGAGACCAGAACGTCATACAAATAAGCTGCTTTAATTATTACATAATTATTATTATGGCAACCAACAAATGACCACATCTGTGGACGCCAAATCCAGATGGGCTAGAAAAATTGCCAAATATAATCAAGACTATGTTACATCGACCAATGACTATAACAAATGTAACATAGTCATACAGGATATGTTTTCGGAAAACTGGTTTGACAATCTAAAAAAAAAAGTGAATTATCGCCTAAGAGCAGATTATAAAAAATTCAAAGCAACAGAGACGAAATCCATTAAAGATAAAATAGAGAAAAGAGTTGAAATTACATAAAAAGACCAAACAACATGGCTTTCTAGCATATTAGATAGAAACACTCATGCCAATATAGTTATAGATAAGATGTTAGTGAACGAAGAATCAGAAGGTTCGACTAAGAGACTGGCTACAGAACTGGGAGAAGTTAAAGAAGCAGTAGACAATGATTTCGCGAGCATGTTTAGGAAAAGAAACACACTTGAGAATTCTTTGACGCCGCTTTGGCAACAAATTTACGAACCTGCAGGCAAATTTAAAGAAGTAATGGAAGCTACAATAGAAAAGGTTACTATGGAAGAATAGAACAATACCGTTAAAGATTTAAATAAAAATTAGACTGCAGGGTTGTCTGGTATTAACTACAAAATAATTCAACAATTACCTGAGGAAATAGTCATCCTCTTGGTCAAGTTCGGAAATCTGACGTTACAAACTGGACTTATACCAAAGGCATGGAAAACATCGATCATTCTTTCTATTCCTAAGCCCACCAACTTTGAATATAATATTTTGAATACTCGACATATTGCATTGCTGGACTGTTTTCGGAAGACCTTCACAAAGATGATCACGAACAGGTTGAGTTCAGTTATGAAACGATATAAAATACTACAGGGATACAATTGTTGCAGTTTACCTGGAGAAAGTACAAACGAACCAATACACCTGGTTAATAATTTTATTGAGGATGCCAGAGAAAATAAAAAAGAACTATGGGACCTCACACAGGATATGAAAAAGGCATTTGATTCAGTTGGGTTAGAAGTGCTAAATCGGGCATTGCTTCGTATTGACATTCCAGCATCACTGGTTGAATGGATTATAGCCCTTTTTAAACACAGATCCCTTAGAATAGCCACAGCATATGGGTTAAGTGATGGATTTATTGGAAATGACGGAATAGATCAGGGTGATGCACTATCTCTGTTGCTATGGCGAATTTTCTATGATCCACTTCTAGTAGGAATACAACAAACTAAAGACAGCGGATATGAAATGAAATTACCTGGCCAAATGATATTAATGACCATACTACATGGACACATTACAGGCTTCAGGTTCCAGTATGTGCATATATGGATGATACGGTATTTTTAGAATCATCAAAATCCAGGATGCAAAAGATAGTAGATATAGCAAATGATTTCTACTTGATTAATGATATCAATATCAATGTTAAGAAATCAGAAATGATAATTATCAACCCGTCAGTAGAAAGGCATGAACAAGTTATTGAATTAGGCCATGATCGTTTCATAGTTCAAGCCACTAATGACGAAATAAGATACCTTGGGGTCTGGTTTTCTAACAAACCGAGTAGGCGGCGATGGATGCAACATATATCCACGACGGTTAAAAGCTTTTGCGATACAGTTCGTAGGAAATTTGTCCCAGCTGGACAATGTATTTATCTAATCAATAGAGTATTGATTCCCAGACTAATATATATAGCCCAAATCATGACACTGTCAGAACATGACTGGAATCAAGTATTCGCTCCAGTAATGAAATTGGTTAAAAACTGGATGAAATTACCCAAGAATACACCATCGTCTCTATTATTTCATGAGGGGTGTTTAGGTATGGATCACCCATGGAAAATTCATTATATCAATATTATAACAGATTTAACGATTAAATTGAATAGTGACTCATACGCAGCGATAGCTACACAGATTAGGCTTAGAGACGCGCAGCTTAAATCACTCATCATTGATCTGATTTTTAACTGTGATCTTCACGCAACGTCTTGGATAAAACTTCAAGCCCGTAAAAATGTCCCATTCAACGCTTTGGTAATAGCTAAATCCCTTGACATTTCAATGGCGATAGATCTGATTGATAGATCAACTTGGAGTATATCAGGAGGGAAAGAGCTGATATTAAAGTTCTTTAAACAATATCAGCTTACAAAGTATATATATAGAATTAACCAAAGCTCACATTACCCAATATTTTATATTGATCAATTGTTTATTAGGGGAATACATCTTATGATATAAAAACAATATCGTAGTTTAGCACTACTCCTGGTGCAAGGAAGGACAGCTAGATGGTACCGTGATGTGGCTCATTTGTGCACATCAAGGACAGATAATTTAACAGTAAGCAATGACCTGGAGATTACGAAAGTTAACCTTTGGGCCTTCTTATTAGATATTATACCGGATGCATGACGCAAACAAGTAATTTTTGTTAGAGAGCCTTTGGCTAATTCAGATGCATGGTTAATTGGCAAAGTCAACAAAATACATCATCATGAACAGGAAATTTCAGTTAGCTATCGTCCAGGATACAATGATAATAGAACAATTGGATGGCAGGACAACGGACGAGTTATACCGGCTCATTGCTGTAAGAGAGCAATTCTAGATAGAGTCTCTAATTCGCGTGGTTGGAGTTTTCCTAGTGAATGGTTATCTTCAACTCATCATCTTGACACTTTGATACCCAGAGATAGAGCACCAACATCAGCGCCAAGCCCCGTAATTAGCCTACCATTGGTTCAGGACATATGGATTAACAGATGGATAGATGATGATGACTTAAAATCAAAACTTATGGATATTAGAAATATATTAGAAGAGAGAATATCGATAGAATACTACACAGATGGTTCGCTCAGGACAAGTATCCCTACATCAAGGGATCAACAAGATTCCAAATTAGTGCATACAAAAATGGGTGCGGCGTTCTGTGTCAATGATGAACCCGCCCTATCTGCCCAAGCAAATTTATCATTATGGCCCTCTTCTACACGTGCAGAACTAGTGGCTATTTTTCTGGCATTACTCACAAGTCCTATGAATGCAAAAATTAAGATATATAAAGATAGTCAAAGTGCCATCTATATGATTAATAATAGACATAATAAATCGGGGAGAAAATTACTGAAACAGTCTAATTCTTTAATTTTACTTAAGATAGATATTCTTTTACAGGAAAAAAAGATGGATCTAGTGTTAGTGAAAGTTAAGGGACACAGTGGAGATGTTATGAATGAAATGGTAGATAAATTAGCTAAAAACACAAGTAATGACAGTGGTTACTTTAAAGGTAGTGTGTATGCCGATCATTTTTCATAAGTGCGCAGTGGTAAATAATTTTGTTGATCACATGAGGTTCCAGAAACTCGGTACGTATTAAAGCGGGTTTCAAAACGAGTTTTTCTTTTGCTGACATATAGTAATATGACACGTAACTGATATCAAAATTATTAAAAAAATTTTTCAAAACTCAAGTTATTAAAAAAAAATAAAAAATATTCGTAGTATTGTCCTTTCAGTATTTAATGACGATATTATTTCAATAAATAAGATGTTATTTTGTTAATTGTATGGCTGTAATAAATTACTTGATTATATACTTCCTGCTAAACAATTCCCTACACGTTCTTTCTAAGACCAATAGCCAAAACAAACTAACCTTAAATAAAGTTTAAGCAAGTCAAAGAAGTATTATTAAAGGAAACTAAATTTAGTAAAAATAAGTGGAAACTAGAAAGTAATAATGGAATGTTTATAGAAATGAGGTAGGGAATAAAATTAAATGATTCTAATTTAATTTTTTTTAATGAAAGAGGGGAGAGTGTGAAACTAGACTAAATTTAACAATAAAATACGCGTGAAAGTGAAATCAATAAAATTTTTTAACTAAATGGGATAAGGAATAATATTACTGATTCAGAGTTAAATTTTTTAGTTGAAAAAGGGAAAGGGAGCGAAATCAGATGAGATATAACGTAAAATACGAAATTTTTTCATAAAAATAAGGTAAATAATGACATAACATTTAATGAAATATATTTAAAAATGGTTCTAATTGAATTTTTAAAGAATGAAATATAGAATCAATTCAAAATTACATGGTTTATAAATATATACAGGTGAGGAACATGATGGTGGCTAACAGTTATTTGAAATTATTTATTTGATGCTAATGAACTATATTTAATTTGTAGATATTAAAATGATAAACATATTATCATCTACACGGATATTACGATGGGTTTGCTTTATTCTTTAGAAGCAAAGGTGGAAGGATGTACGTGCGAAGTACAGTATATGTATGCCAATACTTTCCGTGCAGGCGGTGGCATAAGCAATCTACATATCATAATAGAAATATTAGNCAGCTGTTTCCACAGTATTTCCTGAAGCCCATCATATGCAATGTCTATTTCATCTTTATCAGAACCTTCCAAAAAACCTTCGTTCATGTTTAGGTTCGTCACTTTATCAAGAATTTCTTAAAGATTTTAGGGCAGTTCAACGTTCCAACTGTGAAAAAGTATTTGAGAAAAGATCTCAAAATCTAGTTGAAAAATATGCTGCAGGAGAAAGATATATATCTACAGTACTATTAAATCGAAAGCATACCTGGGTAAAATGCTTTACATTATGTCATTTTACAGCAGGAACACAATCTACACAGCGTGTTGAATCAGAAAATGCATTAATTAAAAAAGCTATACAGTCAAGCTTTTCTCTCTTGCAAGTTTAGGAAGCTATTGAGAATCGGCTTGAATTTGAATCTATTAATACGCGTTATTCTATTTGGAAAACTTCAACATTACAATATACACAGCCACTTATCATTCAAACGTTTTTTAGTGGCATTGATAGCATTATGAAGAAGTATCTTACTCAGCCTATTCATGATGCACATTATAAACAGATGTGCCAATCTGTGTGTTATTTTATGCGTCAAGTATCAATTGCAGAAGCTCCAACATTGGATGATGATTCATTTGAGCCAATCTTTGATGGAGAAGACTCTGCTGAAACTTTTGCTGAAATAGATGAAAATAGGGAACTGGACTTGCAATCGCTAATAGCAATGGTTAATATTGATAATATCATTGAGATATGAAAGATTTCTAGATATAATTATCCAAAGACCTACCAATTCGTGATTCTTCTTAGTACTGGTGAGCATTTATGTACTTGTTTTATGCTCATCACTCATGGTATTGTGTGTCAGCATTTTTTTAAAGTATTTGTTGAATCATCTAAAGCACGTTTTCATCTAACATTGATACCTTGCCGTTGGTATAAAGATGAATATATTAGTTCAAGTGAGGGTTATTTTAATGAAAAGGTTATAGGCAACGGAAATTTTAATCATAGTAGCACCTTTGAATTTACCAGAAAGTATACTATAAATGATTTTTCAGAAGAATACTCCAAACAAATAACACGAAAACAACTGAAATATGGCATTTTAATGGATGAAGCAAAAAAAGCCATTCAGTTTGCAATTTGTAATAATGATGAAGAATTAATCAAACTTATAAAGGAGTATAATGAAAGGAAAAAAGCTCAATACATTCAGGCGGAATCAGTTAAGCAACAAAGAGCTTTAGCAAATCGATTAGCAGAAAATGACAATCAAGTTATTTGTAGGCCAAATGGAGTACTAATTGAATTTAATCAAGTTTTAGATCCATTAAAACATCAACCAAAAGGAAGACCACCTGGAAAACATTTTAAATCATCCACTGAATTGAAAAGTAAAAGTAAAAGTGAAGCAACTGATGGGGCCGCAAGTGTGGTTTATGTGGAGGAAATGGACATTATCGTAGCACTTGTCCTTCAAAGTAGTCATTTTATGTACAACAATAAAGTGATTTTTAACTCTTGAAATTATTGTATTTGTAAGATAAATGTTCTGTACTGTTAGCATTATGACTTACACGAATATCTAGATTAAAGATTTTAGCATCCACAAGTCGAAATGCTAAAAATCGGCAAAAAAAATGGCGTGAAAAGCAGTGGCTATTCTTGGCTATTTTTAGCTGTTTTTGGCTATTTGCGAATTAACCTATACTATTTGTAAATAGTTCATATAAATTTGCGAATAGTTTATGCAATTCTAGCCATTTTTTTTGCCTGTTTTTGGTCATTTGACATGTGATCACCATGCAAAGCATCATGCAAAGCATCACGAAATATCATATAATACAAATGGAATAACGTAAACACGAATGGCAAATAGCATGTATGTCACAAATAATAAAATAAAAAATTAAAAGGCACAGTGCAGGAATTGAACCTGCGTCTTTAAGATAAATAAAATTATTTGCTTTTACAATTAATGTTTTTATTTAATTTTATTTGTATATTATAATAATTATATATATCACATGACAGGGTGAGGAATAATTAGTCTCACCTGGGGTGAGGAATAAATTCACCCTTAAGAAAAATTTGGTTAGAAGTTTAGAAGTTTTAAACAAATTTTAAAAACTTTTTAGAAAAAAGTAGTTAGATGTTTCAAATGCATTTAAAAAAGGTTTTAAAAAAAAGATTATCAATATTAGTTATTTACTGATTTTTAATGATAAAAAATTACTATACAATTTTAACAAATTATGATTGTGTATTTATACTAATATGGTAATTCCAGCCAGAGTTAAGTGATCATCATAATAATTTCCTTTTTTTTATTTTTGCATAGCTCAAGCCTCAATTTACGTGATATAACTTTGGCCGGAATTAAGTGATTGGTAAATAAATTTCCTTTTTTGGATTTTCATGTTTCCCAAAACTTGAAGTAATAGAAGGTATAGCTTTGGCCAAAATTAAGTGATTGGCAAATAAATTTCCTTTTTTGGAATTTTGTGTTTCCCAAAACTTTGAAGTAATAAAAAGTTATAGTTTCGGCCGGAATTAAGTGATCGGCAAATAAATTTCCTTTTTTAGATCATTGTATAACCCAAAACTTTGGATTTTTCCAGGCGACAAAATTTCCTTTTTCGGACTTTGTGTAATGTCACGTGATATTTCAACCAATGAAAACTGTGTCACACAATTCAAAGTTTATTTATATGTCTAAACGTTACGCCACCAATGATTTTTAATATATAGATTATTATTAAGGATTTATTTAAATTTCACCAATGGTTAAATTCGAATTTTAATCACCACTGGTGAATTTAATAATTTTTAAATTTAGTTTCACCAGCCAGTGATTTTAACCACAAATTTATATAAATTTAAATTGAATTTTTAATATCACTGGTGATTTTTATTAATTTTAATTTTAATTTCACCACTGGTGATTTTTACCGTTATATTGTATAACCTTGAATTTGTATAAACATGTGGAATGTGTTACTAAATGGTATTTGTCACACCTATGCATATTATAAAAAATTTTATGCATTAAGAATATAAAATAGAGTCATGATAGTTAACGCGGTGTCATTTATTTTGGCGAAATACTTTCGTTACAATGGAATTAAATTGGGATTTCTTTCTAAATTTTTCTGAAGACGCTATTTTCCCTGAGAACTTTTTTAAAGAAAATAACGAAAACACAGTATTAGAAGATATCATTACACCTCCAGAATCACCTGAAAATTTTTATATAGAAATCAACGAAAATACCGTATTAGAAGATATCATTACACCTCCTAAGTCTCCTAATAACTTTTTTGTAGAAACTAACCCTATAAAAAGTATTTATATTTAAAATATAATTAAAAACTTTTTAAAATATATTTAAAATATACTTAAAATATATTTAATTTAAAAATTGCGAAATACTTATAATATACTTAAAATGTATTTAAAATTATCTTAAAATATATTTCTAATATATTTAATTTTTGCCCAAATACTTAAAATATACTTAAATTATATTTAAATTAAAATTTAAGTATATTATAGATATATTTTTTACATACTTAAAATATACTTATAATATATTTCATAATATATTTTAAGTAATTTTAAGTATGTAAAAAATATACTTATAATAATCTTATAATATACTTAAATTTTAATTTAAATATAATTTAAATATATTTTAAGTATATAGGCAAAAATTAAATATATTAAACATATATTTTAAGATAATTTTAAGTATATTTTAGATATATTAAAAATATATTATAAGTATTTTGCAATTTTTAAATTAAGTATATTTTAAATATATTTTAAGTATATTTTAAGTATAATACTTTTTATAGGGTAACGAAAATACTGTGTTGGAAAATATTATTACACCTCCCGAGTTTTCTGATAATTTTTTTAATGAACCACCTATAGAATTATTCTTCCAAAGTTCAGTTGATAATTTTAATACATATCAATATAATCTTCGTAAAGAAGATAGTTTTGATGATTGGATGTCCGTTGATACATTTATGTATAATTACTGTTTAGAAAGAGGTTTTGGTTATCAGATTTGTAGAAATGACAAGAATCCAAATAACCCTTCTATTACTATACACAAGTCATACCGTTGCTCTTTTGGTGGTACTTACAAACCTCGTAAGAATATTAATCAAGAATTACAACGGGAACGAGGTTCTAACAAGTTCAATTGCCAGTGGCATTGTAATTTCACGTTACAAAAATTAGAAAATCAGGTGAAATGCACAACATTAGAAGATATACATAATCACGAATTAATTCCAACTGACATACCACATCTTAATGCAAGGTATCGACAATTCAATAATGAAATGATGCAAGATTTGAAGTTTTTCACAGAATGCAAAGTAGCGCCTGTTGTACAACTGGAAATTTTTAAAAAAAAATATCTGCAGCATGTATTTCATAAACAGGATGTTTATAATTCAATATATCGTTTACGTAAAAATAATGAAGAAGAAAACTCAGATACTACTTCATTTCTCAATATTTTTCTTGAAAAGATAATAGAAGATCCACATTGGAAAATATTTGTTCAACATTCAGGCAATGAGCGTCGTTTATCTGGAATTTTTTGGATGTCTCCATCACAACATGAATTATATCAACAGTTTCATGACGTAGTACTAAATGACAATACTTGTAAAACGAATAAGTACAATATGCACTTAAGTGTATTTATGATCATAGAAAATTTCGCAATGTAGCAAATGCTCTTGTTGAAGATGAAATGGCGTCTACGTATATTTGGATTTTACAATGCCTTATGAAAGCAACTAATAATATTACACCAAAGGCATTTTGGACAGATTCAGAACCAGGATTAATTAATGCGGCTGCTCATGTTTTTCCAACAACTCCACACTTTTATTGTCTTTTCCATATCTGGCAAAATATTACTTAAACATCTCAAAACAAAATTAGGTACAAAATTTCATTTGTTTAGTGAAGCCTTTTACTTTACTAAAAATGGCCAATTTTTTGAAATATTTTTATAGACCTAGATACAATGGCTTTCAAAACAATTGTGCAATTATTTTGTAAAATTTTTAAAATATATCAAGATATATTTGAGGTATTTTTGAGATTAAAATATTAAAATGATATCAAAGTTAATTATATTATAATAATAAAATAATAACAAAAATATTAAAAAATTATTGTGATATTATTTTGAGTTATTTTTATAGACCTAGATACAATATAATTACAAAATAATAACAAAAATATAATAAAAACATTTTAATGTATTAAATGTATTTTTGTAGTATTTTAAAATTATTACAAAATCATTTCAAAAAATTGGCCATTTTTAGTAAAGTATTTATGTAGAAATACATTAAGCATAGAACTATTTGAACAACGATGGGGGTCTATGATGAATGAATTTCCAGAAAGTCAACCATATATGACCAGAGTACTATATCCTAATCGAAATAGTTGGGCTAAAGCTTATACACCATTTCAATTTAACGCGGGGATCCAAAGTACTCAAAGTGTTGAATCATTTAACGCTATTATTAAAAAAGCATTAAATAGTGCAAGTAGTCTTTGTGACATTGAAAAAGTTATTGATAAAAAACATGAAGCTGAATTTAAGGTTGCTTGCCGAAACCTAGGGGTTTAGGCAAGATGGCGTTTCACCGAAAAGTGAAATTCTGCCGAAACTATATTAAAGTTATATTAAAAAACTGGCGAAACTTTGGAGAATGGCGAAACTGCCGAAACTTATTATAAATGCCGAAACTGCCGAAACTCTGCCGAAATTATAATAAATCTATAGTAAAATTTTGACGAAACTAATCGTAGGATTTTGAAGAGGTTTAGACAAGTAACCTTAGCTGAATTTCAATATTGTAAATTAGCTAATCTTAAGGCTTACCAAACAACAGTTAGACTTCCGCATTTATCATCTCAATTTTTTTCCAATATTGATGCAGTTCTTAATCAATTTTTAACGCCTCTTGTATTATCCTGGCAAAAGTTTCAAATCTCTCAATCATTTACTTACGAAGGTCATTTGGTATCATCTTTGAATGAAGTAAGTAATGTTTTATTAAGATTAAGTAATATTTATTGATAAAAAATATCTTACTTGCATAAATCTTATAGAATTTAGTAGATGCCGAAACTGCTAATGATAATTTTATTGAAGATATTATTGACGAACCACAAATAACCTTGGCATCTCTTTTAAATGGTATTGAAACTTCAAATATTATTGAAATGTGGAGAATACGACGTATAGGAGGCCTTTCACGTAAGGACAATTTAGTGATACTTTTAGATGATGGAACACATTTTTGTACTTGTTTAGAAACAATCACGAAAGGTATAATTTGCCGCCATTTCTGGAGAGTGATGCTGTATTCACATTTAGCGAAGTTCCATATTAGTATTATATCCATTAGATGGTATAAAGATAACATTTTATCCAATTTGGACATTAATCTCAAGAACTCATCGATTCTTACAGCAATAGAAACATCAACTGATATAACTTCATTTCAAATTACATGTACATTCCAAAGTTTACATCATATTCAAGGATCAGATCGTAATGAAGTTGTTTACCAAAACACTCATCAACGAAATAAGTTTGGAATTGCATTTTCTACAGCAAAAACTGCTATCAATGTTGCATTAAAAACTAATAGTGATCATGAATTAATCACATTATTAAAAGATTTTATTGAATCAAAGCGAGAAAAAAATATAGGTGATGATGATGATATTAAAGAAAATCATGATATAATAGGAATTAATGAATCTAGTCAAGAAGATGGCAGCATAATTCCGTTACAAAAAGATTTAATTGAACAGATAACTGATCTTCGTGTGACTAAAATTAGAGGAGCTCCATCAAAAAAGAGACTAAAAAGTGCGATAGAGGTATCAAAAAAAAGAATTCCGATGCAAGAAATTTCAGATGAAAGTAATACTCAACCAGTAAAACAACAGCGCCGATGCTTATCATGTGGTAAATTCGGCCATTACCAGAAAAGGTGTCCATTGAGAAACGCTAAATGATATTAGGTATATTATTTTTTATCGTTCAATTACTGAATAAAAGAAGATTCATATTCTTACTAGAATTTTATAACTGAAAGTTCTATTAGATTTATAATGCTATAAACAATTGATGTGTAATGAGAAAAGATTATATAAACTGTTTCTTATTCATAAGTGGTGCGAAGTAAAAAAGGATGGATGGAAAAGAATTTTTTTTTGCGATTTTTTATGTAATTCAAAGCATAATTTTCTTTATAATAAAGGCAATTCTATTATACATGTAATACATAAGTTATAATTCGTTTATTATTGCATAAAATTGTGAATTACTCGTACAATAATATTACGAAAATATTATTATATCAGATTTTTTTTTCGTTCGGTGATTTTTACCGCCGGTGAATATTTCCAAATAAAAAAAAAAATTAGTGTCACGTGACTGGTGATTTTCACCACTGGTGAGCGTTAAAATTACCCTATTATTAATATTAAATTTAGGGAAATTATCGCAATTTGAAATTTCGGTAAGAAATTATGTTTTGTAACTAATTTTTATTTTAAACCAAGCGAAAATATCGAACTCAACACGTCGGTAGCAATATATGATATTTTTTTTTTAATATCCTATAGCAGCGTGTTACAACAATAACATCTATTCGACTTGTATAATAAGCTGTAATAATTACAGTTTTAAATTTTAAAATGCCAATATGTCATAATTAAATTAACCTGTCAAATTAATTACGGCAGTAAAATTTAAATTATATTAAAATAGGAAATAGATCAACTAATAAACACATTATTTAACATGAGTATAAGTAGATAGATCAAGTAGACATCACTATATATATAGTGATGTCTACTTGATCTATCTACTTATACCATAGTGATGCCTACTTATAGATATTAATGCATACTTACTTATTTTTACGTGTCTATACCCCTTCTGATGCTTTATTGCTATCCATCTGTTTTCACTGGTCTGTGACTGTTTGGTCGCTAAGCAGGGCAGAGGTTTGTTTTTTCATTCTGAAGTCTTTTAACAATTATATAGGAGTAAAGTTGGTTTTTCCACTCTTTGACCCTTTTGGTTGCCATATTTGAGGTCGAGGGTGTGGCCCATTTGCTGGCCTTTTAAGTTGCTGAAATGGTGTAAAAAAATCATCAGGTGACGCAGTAAATTTGCAGTTCAGATTTTGGCCGGCTTTATACCATAATTTTGGCCGATCTTTGGAAATTAGCACCATGGTAGCGTCCTAGTAGCGTCCTGGTAGTATCCTGGAGCTGTCATGGTCTCATGGAACTGGCTGGGAACCTGAGTGTTTCTATTAGTTTGCCAGTTTCAGGCCAGCTTGGATGTCGAATTTGTACTGCGTCTTACTGTGCCAGTTACGTGATCCTGTTACGGCATCAAACACCCTTTCATAGTTACGGGTTAATGACGAGAATATTTCCAAAACATTTCTGGCTTAGGTTGCGAGCTCTTTCCTGTTACCTTCCCGTCACATTCGAGGTGGTGGTTGGTTGGAAGTTTGAAGATGCCCATTTGATTGCCGAATGAGGCACGAAGTGCTGAGTTGGTGACCCAGATGCGCAATTTTGCCTTCCATAACCCTTTTGATTGCCGAGAATGAGGCTCGAAGTGCTGAATTAGTTCAGGCTATACAGCTTTCATATCTTTTTTTCGTGTATTCTCCTGAACCTTTCTGCCTTCCTGACTTCTTTCATACCTATCGCTGGTAGTATCCCAAGTTGTAATTTCTTATTTTCTTTCTATATATTATTCTAACTTGGATTATTACCAATTTTATATCTTATTTTTCGCTTCTGCCTTTCTAGAACCCTTTCCCGTATAGTTACTACTCTGGGATACTTTAGGATACTACCACATCGACCACTTTGGAGTACTACCACATCAATCACTTTGGGGTACTACCACATCATTTACTTTCTTTTGGCTTGGCGCTGGGTACTACCACATCGATCACTTTGGAATACTACCACATCGTTTACTTTCTTTTGGCTTGGCGCTGGGTACTACACTAACCCAGTATTTTACTAACAAGCATATTCGCTCAAAATTATATAGAATTTTTATTTTGAACTTTGCTAGTTTTTCTGTTATTTTATACTGCTTTCTTGCATATACATCATGCTTCTTGCGCAAAAAAAGCCTGGCCCTAGTCCTAAAACAATAAACGAAGCAATCAGGCTCTTTTCAGGGTTAGCGGACCTTGTCTATGATCCTGGTTATAATAATCATGTATACTTTCAATATTCTGATATACACGAATGCATTGATGGGAATCTGCTTCTTCGCCTGGTTCTAGATATTGACGCAAGGCAGTATTCTGATCCCATGAATCCCGAATTCCCTTTCTTAGATGAATATAAAATTTCTCGCTAAGATTTATTATCCAGAATCTTAATTGCCTGTACTGATATTATAAACTCTGATTTAAATCATTTCATAATATTAGACGCTTTTGCCTTAGCCAGTTCGTCTAATGCTAATAAATGCAGTTGGCATATTGTGTATCCTTATGCTCATTTTATTGATTATAGAGACCTTGAGGGTTTTGTAAAAAAAGTTGCTGATAGAATTAGAAAGCCATACTCAGTTTTTATCGATTTTGACCTTTATAAATCTCGCTTCAGCCTTCGTCTTCTTGGATCAGCAAAGGAAGATAGAGTTAAAGGACCTGCAATTTCTTCAATTAAGATAGGATATTGCAAGCTAGAAAATTATCTAGTTCAGCCTAAATCCAATTATTCTAAAATCTGGCCCTGAACCTTTTCCTCTGAGAAGCCAAAAAAAGAGGAATTCCAACCCATCGAAGATAAAACTGCCTTAAGCGTGAGAGCTGGTTTGGTTATTGCAAAATATGGATGGCTTGAGATTGGTGACATTAGAAAGGAATTTATTAACTTTCAAGCTCGGTCATTGGAAGCATGTCCCATTTGCAATATCAAATACGAAAAAGATCAGTTATATGGCTTTCTTTGAAGTAATGGCTGTTTTGTACTCAAATGTTATCGGCAGAAAAATTATAAACCAGATCATAAGGGATTAGCGTTCAGAAAAGTGACCGAAGTTTCTGCAAAATCTAAAAGAGGAATAGTCGAAAGAATAGGTGATGCTATATCAAATCCACGACCTCTTATAGAATTATCAGAAATGATGATTAATGTAGAAAAATTAAAGGATGCTTCAGAAGTATATCCCAATTAGAGCTCCGCACGGGTCAGATCGGGTCGGGTAATTTGTCTGACCTGAACTGAAAAATTTTTATCAGGTCGGGTCGGGTCGGGTAACCTGCTCTGACCCGACCTGACCCGTTTGACCTGAAAGTATTCAGGTCATTTTTCTATAAAATAATATGAAAAAATGCCGTTTTGGCGATTTTTTTCATAAAAGAAGTGGAAAAAAATGCCGTTTCGGCATTTTTCCATTAAATAATATGAAAAAACGCCGTTTTGGCTATTTTTTTCATAAAAGAAGTGGGAAAAAATGCCGTTTTGGCATTTTTCCATAAAATAATATGAAAAAAGCCGCTTTGGCGATTTTTTTCATAAAAGAAGTGAAAAAAATGCCAAAACGGCATTTTTCCATAAAATAATATGAAAAAATGCTATTTTGGCGATTTTTTTCATAAAAGAAGTGAAAAAAATGCCGAAACGGCATTTTTCCATAAAATAAAATGAAAAACGCCATTTTGGCGTATTTTTTTATAAAAAACAATGCCGAAACGGCGTTTTTTTCATAAGGTAACATGAAAAAACGCCGTTTTAGAGTGTAAACATTTTTTTTGGGCTAAAGTATTCGGGTTAACAGGTCAATCGGGTCGGGTCAAACCTGTAACCTGACCTGATACCGGGTCACGAATTTGACAACCTGACCTGAATATTTCGGGTCAACCCGACGGGTCACCCGAATTGACCCTTACCCATGCAGAGCTCTAATCCCAATTTCTTGGGTATTGAGAAAATAACAACACTTATTTATTCTCCTCCGGGGACATAGAAAACCACTGCGTTAAGAGAGATTATTATGGCATTGAAAGATAAAGTACATGATATTTCTTCTTTGCTATGCTTTATCTGGATCTCTTACCAAAAGTCTCTTAGCAATGAATCAAAAGCGAAACTCGATGATTTAAAAGCATTAGGTTTACGAATTTGCAATTACCAAAATACACTAGAAGATTTATCTATAGACAAATGGGATATTATCATAGTACAGGTTGAGAGTCTTTTCCGTATCGAGTTTACAACCCGTCCGTTTGTAGCTATTCTCGATGAAGCTAATGCCATCATGCGTTAAATATCCAGCAGTACAAATACACGGAAATCTGAGAATGCAATGCGTAATGTTTTAAGATCTGCAAGGCATGTTTTAGCCATGAATGTCTTTGCAAATACATCGACACTATCCTTCCTCCAGACTTATCGCAGTGAAAATATTCACGTAGTTGATAATAAGTATCAGCCTCGTATAGGCGAGACAGTTGAGTTTATTTATGATTCGAATAGCGGAGATGAAGCCATGCGAATAGGATATGATCTTTTAAGGCAGGGTAAATGTGTGGCATTTGTATCTACCAGAGCGGTGATAGCTAGAGCATTAGTAGAAAAAGCATCTAAGTTGTCTAAGCCTGATAATTTGCCTGTTAGAGCCCGTGCTTATTATGGAGATATGGATGGAAAATAACGTCAAAGAGACTTTTCTGATATTAATGTCGCTTGGGGTGAACTTGATTGCGTAGCTTATACAAATACAGTGAAGGCGGGAATATCATTCGAGGTTACTTTGATATAATTATAGCTATTATAAACATCGCCACTCCAGTTCATGTTGAAGCTCTTGCACAAATGCTTTATCGAATTCGTGACTGTCCTCGTCGTATTGTTTTTCTATTCTATCAGAAAAATTCTAATGAGCTTTTTCACCCACCAGGTCGTGAAAATATTTGGGCAGAACTTGCAAGTGCTCGGCCTAATAATTTACCCACAGCAATAAAGGGACATCGTGAATGAAATAATAATACCATTTCTTATAAAGTTGATGAGTCTCTGGCCGTAATAACTTTCATTGAAGTCGAGCATCAGAAACGTCTTTCTGCAAGATATTTTATTGAAAAGCTTTGTAGTCTTATAGCTAGTACAGGCGCTTCTCTCTAACTTATAAAAATGGATGAGAGTCGAGGAGTTATAGGGAATCGCAAAAAGGTTCGCAATGAGATTAAGGTTGAAGCATTAGTTATCAAGAATACAGATTTTAATGCAGTTGCTACTTCCCGGAATCTTAGTCCTGAAGAAGCTGAAGTCCTTAAATTCGATCAAGAGCGTTCTATCACAGATACTATGGCACTTAAACGTTTTTATATGCAGAATCTTTATTGCAAAGACATGAGTATTGAGGATTGGAATAATATTTGCAATAGAAAATTCGTTGAAAATTTTAGTTCGCCTGAAGCTCAGAAGCATTTCTTATGGTTGTCTTATTTTCGAAGGCAAGGTCATGATGAGGAGAATGCAATGAAGGGATTGAAAGCTAAGGAAAATATACAATAGGAAATTGCCTGCTATAAAGCCGAAGAGAATCTGGAAAAATCAGTGGCAGAAGACTTGCGTAAATCTTATTCAGCAAATCATTGAAAGGCTATAAGAGAATTCTTTCAAATATTAGGCTTTACCGGCATTGATGACAAGCATATCTTTTCTGGTAGTATGGTATCAGAGGCATTTACGCAATCATGTGAAAGATTTATAGAAATTCGAAATCAGTCTTTATCACTCTTTGGCTTTAAGTCTCATGCTAAGACAACACCAGATCTTAATTCGGCTATAAAGGCAATCAATGCAATTGCTGGTAATTGGTGTGGCTATACTATTAAAAGTGATAATAAAAGAATAGGTTTAAGGGACAACAAGTTTGGCAATACTCATATCGAATTAATCGCCAGCTATATAATAGTACTGGTTTCGGAGATAAAGGTGCACCAGAACTTCCACCATATAGGCTAAAAACAGATAACGATATTCAGGAACTCTTCGATTCTATAGGACAGGAGAAATAATACTTCAGCCCAGATCATTTATTATTCAGATAAGTATCTTGACTACATCAGATGGGGACGTGTTTACTTTGTAAACCCCGCTGATTCTGTTTTATTTTTTTTATTTTCACGCTAAGCACGGTCATAAATTCCGCTATGCGTACTACAGATTCCAGTATCGGAATAAGTTCCCTTTTTACAGACAGGACATATTGTTCTAAGAAGGGCATTATAATGTCTGGCGCATCCTAATTCATTCATGCTTCCTTTTCCACAGATCGAACCATCTCTCTTGATGTATTGGCAGATAAAATGACCCATACGAGGTAATTTTGATATTAATAATCTTAAAACTTCATCTTCACTTTTATTATAGATATTCAAAAATGTGTTACATATCTTTCACGTTCAATACTGGCCAAAGCTAGTCTCTAGGACTGTGTGAGATATATTATTATTTTTTCCTTCCTTCAACCCTCTGCTATAATATAGTATCCCAAAATCTATAATTAGGAAAATTTTTCGAATTGAATTTTTTCTCACATAATATAAGTAGAAGAAACAACTGAAGTTTACTTATATCGACATGTCTACTGCAGAACCTATCCAAAGGGCTCAAAAAGCAAAAATTAATAAATTCGTTTTGATTCTAGAACAGTTCTTAGAAAGATATAACTTATCCGCTAAGTCAACTACAGAACAATTGAGCGAACATACTTCCGAACTTAATGCTTTACTTCCAGATTGGAAGGCCCGTAAGTGCGTTAAGGAAGCCCTTGTGAGAGGTACTGAAAAAAGAAGTGCATTTAGCAAAGAGCAGATAGGGGCTCTCGTGCCAGATCAGAGAAATAAGATATATTCTGTCAGGTAGAGATGCGATCCAAAATCCAAAAATTCGGATCATCTGCCAATCCATCCGATCCGAACGGATAATGGATGCATTCAGATGGATTAAGGATATCTGTTTTAATCCGAAACAGCATCCAATGATCGTAGAGAGATGCACAATAGCTCATTCGAATCGTCTCAATGCAACGAATCGAATGAACTATAGTGCATCCCTGTACGATCGTTGGATGCCGAGATATTCGGAAAACCGTCAAAAATCGGCATTTTTTATTTACAATACTACCAATTTTTGACATTTTGCCGAATATCTCGGCATCCAGTGATCGTACAGAGATGCACAATATCTCATTCGAATTGTCTCAATGCAACGAATCGAATGAGCTATAGTGCATCTCTGTACGATCACTAGATGCCGAGATATTCGGCAAAACGTAAAATTTTGCATGATCATAAAATAAAAATGCTGATGTTTCACGTTTTGCCAATTATCTCGGCATCCAGTGATCGTATAGAGATGTACTATAGCTCATTCGATTCGTCTCAATGCAACGATTCGAATGAGCTATAGTGCATCTCTATACGATCGTTGGATGCAAAGATACCCAAAAATTTGAAGTTAATCCGGATTATCCAGATTTAATCCTATGATAATTCGGATTGATCCGTGCGAATCATGGATTGTAAAATTTCATCCGGATCGCATCTCTACTGTCAGGAAAAGGGCCCAAGAAGTCGCTAAAAGTGAAGATAAGTGGGATATTTTCATTAATACTTTATCTTTGGAACCAAAAGAAAATAAGGATGGAGTAATTGATGATAAGGAAATGGTTGCTTCTAGCTCAAACCAATCACGATTTCGTAAGTATTTAGCAGAGTACGGGGCCAATCATGAACTTATTGATCGCTATGCCAAAGATTTGAAGACCACTACAGCTTCCAACAAAATCCAGCAAGAGTGGATTGAGAAGCGCTTGGCTAATCCAGGTAGAACCCCAGAACATTTCACCTTTGAGAAAGTGCTTAGAAGACTCCAGAATATCGATACTTCTAAAATTCCCTCTATGCAGGATTTCGCGGATGTGATAGTAATGCTGAGCATGAGGCCTGCTAAAGTATCATCTCTCCAGATTATTAATTACAAACCAGATTCTGAAGATCTGCCAGCGTGGTATAAAGCTGGTTATTCTTGGTATTGCACTGGATGTCGCAAACAGAGAGATAAACCGATGCCTATGCGCTTACTCTCTATGGAAAAGGATCCAGAACGTGCTAGGGAATTACTTACCTGGATTCAAGACGCTATTAAGGCTGGAAAGTTGCGTGATCCAGTTTATACTGAAACTGGAAAACGTAATAATGTGCCATTTGCCAAATTCATAAAGAGTTTAAAAACTAATCAGGACAAAGATGAGATTACCCCTGAGCTTCTAAGAAAAATAGGAGCTAAACATGCCTTGATTCATGCCGGTCCAAATCCAACCCCTCAACACCTCGACAATCTTTCAGAAATCGCATTAAGACATAAAATTAACTGTCTTGATGCGGGGAAAAATTACGCTTTATTAGGTGATTCAGAATCGAAGGAGCCCATATCTGATTCTGAAAATTCACCAAGCCTGGTACCTCAGCCTAAAAATGATGATTATAACCCTTTTAATGGACAGATAGCAGAAATAGATTCAATGTTAGCTGGTTTTTAAAATCCCCCTCGTTCATAGAACTTCGAGGTGGTAATGTAAATATAGTTCTAAATAGTTTTTTCTTAATTTGATATATAGCTATCCACCCTGAAGATCTTTGATCGAAGGGAAGAAATGAGGCAGGATTTTTTTAGTTCGATCCTACAATGATCATCAACCCTGAGTGGCTCGGAAGATTTTTTTGCGCCCTGTGTGATAAAAAATATAGATTAGCTAACCTGTTCTAGACATGGGCATTGACCGGCACTAGATGGATTTTTGACGAATATTTCGTGCAATTGTTGAGGAGAGAGCTTCAGAAATAATGGAAGCCCCTCTCCAGTAAACATAATTTTCTTTACACCCATTTCACCATATTTCGGAAATATCACACCTGGATCATTCTCTAAGGAACCATGAAACTCCTTAAGCTTCCAGAGACATACTCTCATATTTTCATCAACTTCTTCCGCCCTTTCTTGATTAGAATAGCCAACAATGTCAAGTTTATCCTGAATTGCTATTATATCCTCTTCCAAACACATAAACAAATTAAATATTTCACCAAATGGAATATCTGTAGAAGCTTTATTGCTTCGGAGTGCCTCTTCTAGAATGGGATTACCATCAATGTTGAGTTTCTCCTGAATCGGTATTAAATCCCCTACCAATTCTAACAACAGCTCGTAAGAATCGGCAAGTGTTTTCCCCATGAACTCGGAATCTGGAGGCACTACTAATTCATTTGCATTGCCAGGGCCAATACCGAGTTTCTCCTGAATAGCTATTATATCCTTCTTCTTATATAAAAACAGTCCATAAAACTGAGCAAGCGTTTCGGGATTATTATTTGCCATGATTGCTATAATAAAGTAATATATTTAATGCGGAAAATTTAGCGAAGCGCCTTAAGGGCTAAGTCTGGAATACTGATCATCAACCCGGATCACTTCACTCGAAAGAAGAATTTGCTGGGCCACTCCTGTGCGACAGAAAAATAAGTGGATCATCAGTCAGGTCATGTGCAACATAATTTTCGCATATACTGAAAAGAAGCTATGCACGCTACCAGTACTTTATTTTTTATTAAGTATAATTGCTCTATTAGCAAAATGTCAGATGACGAGACAGATGAAGGCTACAATGAATTTATCAAAGAATATGGATCGAGGTATGAATGGGATAATGAAGGAAATCCTGAATTTATACCAGAGTGGCAAGAGGACCCCGAAGAATACATATACAACTCAGATCCAGACCTAAAATTTTAATATAACTTTATACGCCTAATTTTATTAGAAGCTTTATACAAAATCATCACATAAGTTCAAATTTTATTATAAATTATACAATTATAAATCTGAGTTTATATAAAAAAAAAATTTTTAAAGAAAAATTTCAAATAAATTTTATTGAAAATTTTAATAAATATTATTAAAAACTATTTAAAAATTCCAACAAATACTTAGATATTGATGCCCAATATGTATAATATAGTAAGTTTTATGCAAAAATTAAAAAAAATTATTAAAAAATAACTTAAATAAAATTTTTAAACAAAATTGCATGTTAAAATTTTAAATACCCGATAGATATTGATGCCCAATATGTATAATATAGTAAGTTTTATGCAAAAATTTGGGTGTATACTACAAAATAAAAGAAAATACATTTTGTTATATATCTCACCACCCAGTGATCGTAAAAAGATGAAACACAGCTCGTTGGATTCGTCTTGACAAGACGAATCGAATGGTAGTAGTTTCGTGTTTCTAGGTGTGATAGATGATGAGCTATACCACACATCGGCACTTTGTATTTTCGTCCACTGTGCATTTTTACATTTTATCACATATCTCGGCATCTATCGCGCCTAGAAATATGAACCTACCACCATTCGACTCGTCGTATTGAGACGAATCTAATAAGCTGTGTTACATTTTTCTACAATCACTGGATGCCGAGATATATAATAAAATGTATTTTTTTTAAATTTGTAAATGAATTTTAAAAAAATTTCTTCATTTTTATTAAAAAATGTCTTTAAACGAACCCTTAAAAACTTCTTAAACAAAAAACAATTCTATTAAAAAATATTTCAAGTGTTTTTTAAAACAAATAAAAAAACTCTTTATTAAAAAATATCTTAAAAATTTCTTAAACAAAAAATAAAAAAAAACTTTAAAAAATTTTAAACATATATAAAAAAAAATTCTAATATCCGTTATACAAAATGAAAATCTTACTTATTGTAAAAATCATTATTGTTATACAAATAAAAATCTGACTTTTTGCGTAACTGCTATTTGGTTATACAATTTCAAACATATGACTTATTAAGAAATTACATAGTAAGTTTATACAAAATTGGATCCCAGTATTATATGTATTCTTCGGGGTTCTGTGGCAAGACTGGGAAGATCTATTTTGCGAAATCAAAATCTATTGGAAGACAAAGGCAGTCAGGCATTGGAGGGAGGAAACTCTTAAACGATTTGTATATAGTCTGCCCAGTGTAAGAAATTCAACATCATTATTCCATGTACTCTTACAATCTGATGTTATTTATCTTCCACAAATATTGAGCCTAATAGAATTGCCATATTATTCATATGAACTTCGAGAGGAAATATGGCCGGATGGTATTGATAAAAATGAGATTAAGGTAGATGACAATGCAGATGAGGTAAATAAGTTCCGGTATGGGTTATTGCTTCAAGGTAAAGACTCAATAGTGAATTATTACTCGAAGATAAAGAGATGTAATGATGTTATCAAGCTCTGTAAAAATCATCTTAGAGAATTATTCCATAAAGGATTGTCATCAGAAAGTTAAAGGTATATCGAAAGATTTGGATGTTATTATAGTCACGATTTTGATCCTGATAAAATGGTAGAAATGCTTATTCAAGCTGAAAAGGAAAATGCGCCTGATTTTATTACTGCATTTAGTGATTGTCTTAGACAGGTTAGCAATGTACAGATTTCGACCCAATCTGGATTCTCTAATAATAATTTTATTTCTGCTTTTCTTAATCTGGAATTAACAAGACCCTCTATGGCGGGGTGGTACACTACCAATCTAACTAGTCCGGAGCGGTAATCTTCAGCTCGGAAGAATTTGCTGAGCCATAGATTTCTGTGCAATGATGTAATGGCCGATCACACAGTCAGTCTGTGAAACATTATTTCTTCACATACTAAGTTATGTATGCTAACTAGTATCTCTATTTTTCCCTGAACAAATATGAGAAAAATGGCCTGCTTCATAGGCGCTTCGCTTGAAAGAAGGTCTACATGCAACACAGTACCTACCCTATAAGTTAATAGTGATGACAAAAGCATATGTTATGAAAGGCTGAGGGACACGCAATTTTGAGATTGCCAGGCGTAAAACCAACTATATCTTTCCGGTAGATCTACATGTGAAAAGGTATGAGAATTCTATTTGCATGTGCCTTCATAGAACTCTTGGCATCATATGACAATGCTAATCACTATTTTTATCTCCTTAACTTCAGCTTGGCGCTCTTTTTCCCAGCAAGATATAAAACATGTAGGAGTATGTGGAAGTTCAGCCAACTTTCTGCAAAAAATTTTAAGGTGCGTATGTGATAGAAGTTATGTATGGGAGCAAAGTGCGACATAAAAAATACTCACTATGGGTTCTTGAATTTAAAAAACTCGCTACATAATGACCGATAACAATAATGATAACAATGGTATCGATATCACTCTCAATTGTCTTATCGTTCCCATAGGGAATCTCTTCAATCTTCCAAACAATCAAGTAGCTCAAGTAATTACAATCAACACAAGTCAAAGGGTTAGTAGACTTGAAAATGTCATTTGAAGCCGGTTGGGGCCACCATTTGATAATCTTTATCTAACAATTCGAGAGATCCATCCCAGAACAGTTAACGAAAAACCAATGGACTCTCAAGCCTTTATTTCCATTTTTTTAATAATCAATCTCTACCTCGAGAGAACCGCTTCCATGTTACCGTATATTCTACATAATTTTAGTATCATGTAGCGAAATATTCGCAATTTTATGTATTGTAGGCTGACTTCTGGCAACATTTTTATTTCATAAATAAAGTATTATTTTACCGAACGTATATGAGAAGCGGGTCACGTAAAATGATGCGATCCACTATAAATCTAACATTTTTATCCGAACCAATTTAGCTTATGTAAAAACGTCAGGTGATAAGTGAGAAGAGTTTTGGAGGCGCAGTGATTAGGCAATCATTACACCTATGATGTAATGTGGCTGATCGGTCTCTTGTGAAACAAAATAATTTCTCACATAGTACTCACTCAGTATTTTTTTTCACAAATAAAATTCTTTTTACTCTTGTCCTCATATACTGCACTTTGAGCCAATAACATTTCGCAAAAAATACTATATAAGTCAGAAATATATCTATCACTTTACTATGTCTCATCAAAGGAAATAAGACCGCAAACGCCTTCGCTGTTGATATTGATAGTGGGAAGTTGGTTAGCCACCTCAAGGACGCTATTAAGGCAAAAAAGTCACCAGAGTTCGACAATTTTCCTGCAGACAAGCTCAAGTTATGGAAGGTGACGATCCCTGGCGATCAGGACAATCAATTAAAAAATCTAATACTCGAGGACAGTGACGAGCTGTTGGCAATAAGAAAGATTTTGAAATACTTCCCTGACTCACCTCCCGAGGAACATATTCATGTCATAGTCTCTCCACCAGAGGCCACCGCCACTTCGAGTCGAGAGCAGGAATTACTTAAGGAAGTCGTCTCACTTCGTGCATTGATCAACAAGTCCACATATGGTACGTATAAATTTTAGGCTATATTTTGAGAAAAGGATTTTACTAACTAGTCTATTGAATTTTAGACTTCGACGTCATTGTTAGACCGAAACAGAAGGCAAACAAGTGGAGTATAAATATCGAGCAAGCAAGCCTCAAAGACCTCAAAGATTATATACGTGAAATGTACAAACCACTAGCGCTTGAAAATGATGGAGCGGTACTCAACTTCATGAATGGTGGAGATAGATATTCACCTAGAACTGATCCCTCATTCCGAGAAATGTTGCGGTCGCTAGTTTCAAAAAACAACCCTAAGTTTACCGTATTCATTGAGACGCCATCAAAACCATTCAACTCCTGGACCTTTCCGAAAGTGTGCGAACTCTATGGGCTTAGCGATGACCCGAATCCTAGTATTGATGTATATCCAGTTTTTCAATGCGGATGTGCTAACACTAAGGAGAAAAAGTATAAAGAAGCGTTGCGTAAACTTTTGATGAATTGGAAACTCGTGTCGCGACAACCCCCATTGACGTGTCCTATGAGGCCACAAAAAGCATCTATTCCTATTCCTTTCTCACCTCAGCAACTTATCCATTTAAAAGCCAAATAAAAATAGTACCCGAAAAGTTGGTCGAAGGTAAAACGGACACGGAAATCTTGACTACGGTATTGAATTACGTACAACAAGGAGAACAATCGGCTTGATCAAGGTCAAAAAAGATGACTTTAAGCAGGGCTTTGCTCAGGCTACTGTACAGATGGAATCTTCTCTTTCTCGCAAACGCAAAGCGAATGAAATATACGATGAGTACGATATGGATAAAGTATGGGGAATTGTAACAAATGCACAAAAATGGTATTTTATGGAATGTACATTAGAAAATGAAAGGAAACCAGTATTTAAGCTGTCGAAGCCTCTATTTGTTGCGTATGAAGATGAGGGTATGAAAGACATGGCGGAAAAAGTCCTTGCTCACATTTTATGGTTACTCGAAGAAGCGCAGAAACCGGTGAAAGCTTTGGAGGAATCGAGGGAAATAAAAAGGGTAAGGTCAGGCGAGTTACCAAAGGTAACCGATCTTGAGGGGAAAACGAATTAGAATTTAGGAATAGAAATTTCGTCATGTATCACGGGCAAGTCCCGATTTATTTTTGCATATATTAATAAAAAATTTTTCTTGCATTTTTCCGGGACATAATGTCTCAGAAATTTCTTGGCAAAAGTGATCGGCGTTCCAAATTGGAACGGACACGTGATTTTTTTTTTTTATATCAAACATGTCATGGGTTATGAAAGACCGTGACATTTGATTAAGCTACTGTCCAAAAAGATGAAGCTTTGCATGGTCGCCGTTCAGATTGTCTTCACTATCTCGCAAACACAAAAGCAAATACGATAGATAATGTATGGGGATAATAACAGATGCTGTAAAATGATATTTTGCTAGACAGTGATGAAAAACCATCGTTCAAGTTATTGAATCCCTTATTTGTTGCGTACTAAGATGAAAATATGAAAGACAAGGCAGAGGTTATGTTATATGTTACTGGAAGAGGCACAGAAGCAATGAAAAAAAAAAGGTAAAGTCATAGAGTAATCTCGCGGAGGAATAGGTAGGTTAATGGGATAGAAACGTAGTAATTTAGCGATGTAGTAGGACTCCCTTTAAAGCATGTCATATATTTCGCTTTCTAAGCATTTCTTTATGTATTTTACGTATCTAAAAAATTAATAAAGTTTGCCCGCATTAACGCATCAAATTTATGATTAAACGCTAAATAAAATTTATCGTATTTATTTATAATTTATATCTTATAGACTAGAACATTGCAAAATTACACTTGAGAAAGATATCGATCAATATCTTTATTGACGTTCGCAAATCCTGTTACTACCGAAATGTAATCGGGATTAATCTCAACATCTCTATTTCTTAATTTTTTAATCTTCATTTCCACTTCCTCATCAGCTCCATTTTTGCATGTAATCCATATGAATATTATCACTACATCTTTTGGTATATTTGATTTCAATTCTGGCCAAATCCCAGAAAAAAAAGCTCCTTCAGAATCTGAATGTCCTTCCTTATCAAGGGTGATCTGAATTGGTGCAATATACAACATACCTGTCTTGTATAAGGCCAGTAATCCGTCTATTGACTTTTGGTTCCATTTACGTGGCAAATAAAATGTACATGCCCCCTCACTCAAAGAAAAATTAATATCTTCTACACCAGAAAAAAACTGATGACTATCGACCTTAAATCTTATTGAATTTGCCATAATTCCGTTCTTACAAATGCTAGCAATGCAATCCCTTTACCGATGGATTGTTCTTGAATGACTTAATCCAATTTATGTCTATGAATACTTCCATTCTGTCCTTTCCATAAAGGTAATTTGCCATGCAATCCCGTGCTAACCCACAAACGTAATAGCATTTTCCATTGTCAACGTAGAAGAAGCGATGATCGTAATCATTATGCCCATAGCCATCTGTAGGATCTTTATTTGTCAGAAACGATTTCATCAACTTGACATGACTATGTAAATAGAGAAGTCAGTTTTCATACAGTGCGCCAATCACAAAACAAACTAAGAATACATACAGTTCCCATCTATTGCTACTTGATATAATGTCTGAAAAGTTCATCATTGGCTCTTTTATCTTTGATGTTAATTGTTGGTCTAAATACTCCCATGCATCTTTAAAGTTCTTGTGATCTGATTCTAACAAAAACTTTAGGAAGAGCGGAATTTTTCCAGAGATATCTTCGATTTGTCTTATCTGTTGTTCATCCATTGCTGGTAAATCGGAATTGTGCTTATTCCACCATTCTTTCATCTCCCCCTAAATAAATATTACATAAATACACAGAACGTTCACAATATAAAGAAGATTTCTTATTCTTACCTCATCAAACCCTCCAAAAAGCTTGATCTTCAATTCTCCGGTCTGCTTTGCCATAAGATGCAACATTGTCTTGTTGTTAGCCGAAGAACTCATAATATAAAAGTGGTTATCGACCATTTTATCAAGATTTTCTCGAATTTGCCGTTTCTTTTCTAAGCTAATCCCAGTGTTATCTCCTTCGTCCAGAGCATTCATTTGGTCTACGATGAAATATAACTTTTCCTCCAATGATTTGCAAAATTTTATGATATGACAAAAATCTTCACAGGCATTTATTTCACTTATTTTCACATCATCATTTTCGTAAGTAAGAAATAAGGCAAGTTTAATGTATTCAACTGGATCAACAGCCAATTGGCGACAATCAGGAAGAAATACAACACGCCTTCTTGTTCGGAAAAGAAAACATGCAATGGCTGTAAGGATATGCGACTTGCCATATCCGACAGTACCATAAATAAATAATTTCATATAACTACGAGGCCGAAGTTTGTTAATGTCTTCTAGAACCTGCTCAAATTTCGTTCTTCCCATGAAGATGAAAGAGCCATCATGGTCAATATCAAATCTATCTATTGGTAATTTTTCGCCAAGGTATGGATATGGTAACGAAAGGAAATTTTTAGGATCTGAGTAAATAGTTTCATTCTCGTCGAGTTTCATTATGTCCTCCATGATTCTATGAGCGGTAGAAATTATTTTCGGATCTAATAAAATAAATGTGTATGTTAAAACAGTGATGTTTAGTCTTAGTTGAACCCTAAAATTACACACCTGCTAGTTTCACCCTTTTACTATTTTGATCTTTGTCCGAATCTTCTGCTTTCCTTTTCCCTAATCGAATAAAAAAGATGTGAGATAAACGCGAATTTCTTGTTCGAGAGGTAAACCATTGGGAGACACTTACCAGTGGTGGCGGGCGGTGGCGGTTCCACGATGATGCGGATGTTAGTACCAGTGGGTGTTTCTTGAAAATAACTTCCAACAGATTCGAATGAATGCAACTCTACACCTTTGTGCTCTTTTACGATCACTTCTTGATTTTCCTTGGTTTGAATAATATCGACCCTCCATAATGTCAGTCTGTCTGCGTCAATACCAACGAAGGCATTTTGTTTCGCGTCCTTTATGGCTGTTCTGAGGTGCCCAAAGGTCGCGTAATTTCTAGTATCAATCGGGAAAGAGTTTTTAATAGCGTCACCTTGAACGAGGCAAAATATCATAATGTCGGTATATCTGCAAACGCGGAAATCGAGTGTTAAAAACAATGATCAAAAAGTAATTTTCCAGTATAACACAAATAAAAGACTTTTTGGATACAATTTTAGACCTAGCAGGAAGTGATTTTTCCTCGAATTTAGTTTGTACCCGGGATGGCGAAAGTACTCGAAATAGCGAAGAATAGTTCGACATTTTGATTATTTATCATATATATATATGTTTCCATAAACGGTTGTTGACTAATTACTACGAACTGTGAGTCAGTAATACTACGAACTGAGTCAGCGATGTGTCAAGGATCAATACAAAATTACGAAAAAAATTTATCAATCAAAAATCAGCCACATGTCACAATGTCACATGAGAGTGCCAATCAAAAATCAGCTACATGTCACAATGTCACATGAGAGTGCCAATCAAAATAATTCCTGATCGGCGAAACTAAGACAAGATATGAATATTTCGGTTATGACTGTGCGTTTACAAGGAAGCGACTCAGAGCTTGCAAAGCCAATATCTATTTTTTTGTTCAGAACTTTCGAGGACCTTATTAGGCAGAGAACATAAACTTTTGGTGAGTTTTAATATTGCTAATTTATTTCTGACTCCG